GAATCTCAGGGTTGTTTTAATTTGCATTTCCCTGATGACTAATGTTGAACATTTCTTTAGGTGCTTTTCGACCATTTGAGTTTCCTCGATTGAGAATTCTTTGTTTAGCTCTGTACCTCATTTTTAATCAGGTTATTTGATTGTCTAGAGTCTAATTTCTTCAGTTCTTTATATACATTGGATATTAGCCCTCTAGCAGATGTAGGATTGGTAAAGATCTTTTCCCAATCTGTTGGTTGTCACTTTGTCCTACTGACAGTGTCTTTTGCCTTACAGAAGCTTTACAGTTTTGTGAGGTCCTGTTTGTCAATTCTTGATCTTAGAGCATAAGTCATTGGTGTTCTGTTCAGGAACATTTCCCCTGTGCCCAGGGTTTTCCTCAGTTTCTCTTCTATTAGTTTCAGTGTATCTGGTTTTATATGGAGGTCCTTGATCCACTTGGACTTGAACTTTGTACAAGGAGATAAGAATGGATCGATTTGCATTCTTCTACACGATGACTTCCAGTTGAACCAGTACCATTTGTTGAAAATGCTGTCTTTTTTCCACTGGATGGCTTTAGCTCCTTTGTCAAAGATCAAGTGACCATAGGTGTGTGGGTTCAACTCTGGTCTTCAATTCTATTCCGTTGATCTTCCTGCCTGTCTCTGTACCAATACCATGCAGTTTTTATCACTATTGCTCTGTAGTACAGCTTGAGGTCGGGGATGGTGATTCCCCCACTTCTTTTATTGTTGAGGATAGTTTTCGCTATCCTGGGTTTTTTTGTTATTCCAAATGAATTAGAGAATTGTTCTTTCTATCTCTGTGAAGAATTGAGTTGGAATTTTGATGGGGATTGCATTAAATCTGTAGATTGCTCTCAGCAAGATGGCCATTTTTATTATATTAATCCTGACAATCCATGAGCATGAGAGATCTTTCCATCTTTTGAGATCTCCTTTGATTTCTTTCTTCAGGGACTTGAAGTTTTTGTCATACAGATCTTTTACTTGCTTGATTAGATTCACACCAAGGTATTTTATATTATGTGTGACTGTTGTGAAGGGCGTTGTTTCCCTACTTGATCATGATGGATGATTGTTTTGATGTGTTCTTGGATTTGGAAGATATCTGTACTCCCCCTGAACACCTACACTCCTGCATCATCCCCTTCCCCATATCCCGCCTTTTGTGTGTATAACCCCTGTGTGAAAAAGTAAAAATTACAATTTGACCAGACTATAGACAAATCGTCATTCTTTGCATCTGTCTGTCCTCCCTTATCTTTTTTGATAGTTTTAAGTTGAAAGTCGATTTTATTTGATATTAGAATAGCTACTCCAGCTTCTTATGACCATTTGCTTGGAAAATTGTTTTCCAACCTTTTAGTCTAAGGTAATATCTGTCTTTGTCACTGAGGTGCGTTTCCTGTATGCAGCAAAATGCTGGGTCCTGTTTACATATCCAGTCCATTAGTCTATGTCTTATTATTTGGGAATTGAGTCTGATTATGTTAAGAGATATTAAGGAAAGGTGATTTTTGCTTCCTATTATTTTTCTTATTAGCGGTGGAATTATATTTGTGTGTCTATCTTCTTTTGGTTTTGTTGGACGAAGATTACTGTCTTGCTCTATCTAGGGTATAATTTTCCTCCTTGTATTGGAGTTTTCCCTCTATTATCCTTTGTAGTGATGGATTTGTGGAAAGACATTGTGCAAATTTGGTTTTGTCATGGAATATCTTGGTTTCTCCATCTATAGTAATTGAGAGTTTTGTTGGTTATAGTAGCCTGGGCTGGCATTTAGGTTCTCTTAAGGTCTGTATGACATCTGTCCAGGATCCTCTGGCTTTTAGAGTTTCTTGTGAGAAGTCTGGTGTAATTCTGATAGGTCAGCCTTTATATGTTACTTGATCTTTTTCTCTTACTGCTTTTAATATCTTATTTTGTTTTGTGCATTTTGTGTTTTGGTTATGATGTGTCAGGAGGTATTTCTTTTCTGGTCTACTCTATTTAGAGTTTTGTAGGCTTCTTGTATGTTCATGGGCATCTCTTTAGGTTAGGGAAGTTTTCTATAATTTTGTTGAAGATATTTAGTGGCCCTCTAAGTTGAGAATCTTCACTCTCTTCTACACCTACTACCCTTAGGTTTGGTCTTCTCATTGTGTCCTGGATTTCCTGGATGTTTTGGGTTAGGAGCTTTTTGCACTTTGCATTTTCTTTGACAGTTGTGTCAATATTTTCTATGGTATCTTCTGCACCTGAGATTCTCTCTCCTATCTCTTGTATTCTGTCGGTGATGCTTGCATCTATGACTCCTGCTCTCTTTCCTAGGTTTTCTATCTCCAGGGTAGTCCTCCTTTGTGATTTCTTTATTGTTTCTACTTCCATTTTTATGTCCTGGATGGTTTTGTTCAATTCCTTCACCTGTTTGTGTTTTCTTGTAATTCTTTAAGGGTTGTTTGTGTTTCTTCTTTAAGGGATTCTAACTGTTTACCTGTGGTCTCAATTTCTTTAAGAGTGTCATTTATGTCCTTCTTAAAGTCCTCTATCATCATGAGAAGTGATTTTAAGTCTGAATCTTCCTTTTCCAGTGTGATGGGGTATTCAGGACTTGCTATGGTGGGAGAACTAGGTTCTGATGATGCCAAGTACCCTTGGTTGCTGATGCTTATGTTCTTGTGCTTGCCTTTCAACATCTGGTTATATTTAGCGCTACCTACACTCACTGTCTCTGACTGGTGCCTGTCTTTCCTGTTATCTTGGTTGTATCAGAACTCAAGAGTCCAGCTGTCTCTATGATCCTGTGATTCTGAGATGCTGGGTGTAAGAGCTCCTGGAAGTCAGACTGCCTCTGGGATCCAGAAATCCTGGTGTGACCAATCTCCTGAGATCCAGAGATCCTATGATCCTATGTTCCTGAGCATGTTAGAGCTCCTGGGAATTCAGCCCCCTCTGGGTTTTGTGGGATTGGGTGCAGAGATGACTATCAAGATATGCTCAGTGCTCAGGTGCAGACCAGAAGGAACTGGTGCCCCTGGCCAGGGGTGAGTTCCTGGGTCCCTGTTACTCCCTGTTTGGGGCAGGTATTGCTGCCTCCTTACCTAAGATCCTGCTTGGGTTAGAGCTCCTGGGATTCCTGCCTCCTCTGGGTTTTGTGGAATTGGGTACACAGCTGAAGGTCAAGATCTGCTCAGTGCTCAGGCGCAGACCGGAAGGACATGTTACATTTCTTACTCGTTTATTTAGATGAATTGAAACTTTTCTCTCTCATACACATCCATGTGCATACACAAAGCCTAGTTCCATAGTTTCATTTTATATGCAAATGAAACCACTTCTGCTGATTGGTTGCCCAATCAGGTTCATAGGAAAAGAAATCAACTTTTGAAGGAACAAGGTCAGCAGAACCAGATTCTGAGTCCTGAATAAAAGTCTACAGATGAATAAATAATTAACTATAATCAATGGGCAACCCAACATTGAAATATTGGTAGTGACTCATTTTATTTGGCCTGCTCCACCCAGAGGACCCAAAGATGACCCCTGGATTATGGAACCGAGACTAGGTGGTACCTAATTGTCTCCATTGAGTTGGATGTTTTGTTTGGTTGGTTGGTTAAAAACTTGAGCAACAAGATAAAAATGTAATTAAAAAATATTTTTGTTCTCCAAAGGAAACTTGTAATTTTGAATTCCAACATATTGGTAGCAGCGGTTGTGGAAGGGTGTTTAAAAAAGAAAAAAAAAATAAGGCCAGGTATGGTGGTGCACACCTTTCATCCTAGCACATGGGAGGCAGAGGCAGGTGATCTCTATGAGTTCGAGGCCAGCCTAGTCTATATAGTGAGTTCCAGGACAGCCAGAGCTTCCCAGTGAAGCCCTGTCTTGAAAAGAACATAACAAAAAGAAAAATCAAAAGGAAAAGAAAAGGAAAAAATCTCAAGGCAGATGTGAGTTTGAACGCAGCTCTACCACAGGCCCTGGGGGCAGTAAGAACCCCCATCTTCAGACTGCTGTGAGGACAGGAGAAGACACAGTGTGCTTAAGCACAGCACATGACCAGAGATGCTCAGTCAACGGCAGCTACAACAATTTAGCCAGCATGTTCAGCTGTGAATAGCAGAAGAGATGTATAAAAAGGAAAAATGGCTTGACTACCCAAGAGATTGATGACACTTGGTTTTAGCTGCAATAGACTTTCCTTTCTAAGTAGTCAGTCCCTAGACCAGAGACAGACAGACAGCTTGAGTTAGGTTGAGAATACACTAGTGCTCGATTCTGCCAAGCAGTTACTTCTTGTATCAATATTTATAGGAAAGATACAAGATCTCTTTACATTTCCATAATAAAAGTCCATAGCCACTTATTCATTACCCACAGAACACTCCATGACATAAAGAAAGAAGGCATGGACATAAAGAAAGAAGGCATGTGCTTGTATAACACACGAGGAGCAATAGCAACACCTGATGTATAAATAACATGGCAGGGCAGAAGCCTGCCTCCCCTCACCAAACAAAGTCTTGGGACAATAAGATGTGGCATGGCTTTCAAACTCAGTAAGCTGTCTCTGTGTTGCAGAGTCTGTTTGGCCTTCAGTGGAAAGGTTTGTGGTTTGAGAAAACCAATGTATGGTCTTGTCCCTGGCCAACTTCTTGGTTATAGAATGTTATATAATAGTAGCATAGAGGCTGGAGAGGTTAACTTAACCTCTTAACTCAGAGGTTAAGAGCAGAGGGCCCCAGGTTGATTCCAAGTACCCACACTGACCAGCTCACACCTGGTTGCTTAAAACTCCAGCTCTGAAGGATGGATGCCCTCTTCTGGCCACCATGTTCCCTGTACTCATTTGCACAGACACACACATACACACAAAACTGAAAGCAAAATCTTCAAAATTGTGATTGTTGTATAACGTTGTAAATGTACTAAATTCCATTCAGTGGTACTGGGCTGAATGTCAATGTGGCAAAATTTATGTTATGTGTATTTTAACATAAAATAAACACAAAACTCTAGAAGATGTATTAGAGGATATATTTTCCCAGTCCTGGGTGGTAACTGTAGCTTTCTTCCTAGTTGTGTATAGCACTGCCATATGCTATCCCCTGAATGCCTATGTATGCATCCATGTTTCAAAAATCTCTGGCCTTTGTGTTCTACTTGGTAGCATTTTGGCATCACACGGGAACATACAATGTGTTTCCATTCTTATTTTCAGTAGATGGTGAGTCACATTGGCTGCACGAGCACATAAGCTCCTTTACAAAGACTCTTTGGCTTTAGCACATATTTATCTACTTTAGAAAATTTCTCCTATCCAAAGGGCAGGCTTGGAATGGGTTTGTGTCTCCTCTCTCCAAAGGCACTGCATGGCTTTATTAGGAGATACGGGGAGGAGGTGTCCCAGAGCTATGGCTGAGACAGTTTCTGAGTCTCGTCTTTCAGCCAGCTCAGCTTGGGCAGTGTGGCACTCAGGACTCTTAGTTCGCTGAGACAAAGTTGAGACTGTTCTTTTATGAAGCACAGATCATGAAAGTTGTGATCCCAAGCACAGAGGACAAAGGAGAAAGAGGGTAACTGGAAAAGACAAGACAGTATCACCAGGAAGTCCTTGAGGAAGAGGGTGTTGAGTGTCCCCAAGGAAAAGCCTCAGGAAGCCTCAGAAGCTTCATGCTGGTCTAGACTGTCCCAGGTAAGCAGGGGAGGGTGACTCAGGCCTCCCCTGCAGGGAGGAACCCACTCCCTGTGCAGGCTGCTTTCTCTCTCCAGCCAGCAAATTTTGGCTGCTCCTGCTATACTGCCTCTTTTCAGAAATATGAAGGTTTGCTACAGATGAACAGGCCTGTGATGGCCACAGCGACTAAGACCAGGGAGAAGAGAACCATGAGGCTGATGTAGGTGGAGTGAGGGAGAGGCGGGGATAACGGCTGTTCAGCTGGGATCATGTTGGTCAAGTTCAGCATGTAGCCCAAAGTCCACCCTGCGTTGCTGTCTTTGATCTGTAAACAGAAGGGGAAAATATCTTGGTCATGGTCCAAACTGATAATTTACAGTGTTTGTGTAACCCCACCATCATAACACTGAATAACCAATAGGAAGAGATCACCTTGTATGGTCCACACAATAGATTAACTTTATACGCTACATTGGGAATGACGTGTGTGGGGAGGGGTAGAATATCAAAGGAAATGATTAAAAGAGAGGTTGGAGCCACCATTATAGTCTAGAGAGTCAGAGAGTTTGGTGATTGGCTGTCCAGTTCACCCAGATGGGAGCACCTAATTCAAACAGACCACAGGATGTCGGGATTCTTTTCTATTTCATGAGTTGAGGAGCTAAGCGAGAGGGGACAGGAAGTAGGTAAAAAGATGAAGGAACAATGATTGGCTCTAGTCTTTTACATCCTTCCTAGGCCAGAGAAGTCACATAGGACCAGGGCTTCATGAGGGAAAGCTGGGGAAATAATTCTAGCAAGTCAACCTTTATAAAGTTAGAAGGTTATGTACCTCTCTGAGAAAGGATCCTTATTAAATTAAAAAACAACCTCTGACCCTCTCACCTTTAGAAAAACCATTTCCAGTCCATCAGAACTTACAGGAATATGGGTGCCATTTGAGTAACAATTTTGGGAAGGTTTTATTACAAACGCTGTTCGTGACGATGTAGAGAAGTGAGCAGACACAGACAAGCCTAGAGAGACTCTGCACACAGTGCCACTCAGAACTTCTACTGTCCTTTCTTCGTGATACTTCCTTCTAGTCCTCTGTGAACATGTTGCTGTTGTTTTTACAAAACTAATTAATATTTCATTGTATCTGGATAATTCACTTAGGAATACCTGTGAGCATTGCCCCTTAATATATTTCTGAATCATTACTAAAATATTTTTACCATCTTCTAAAACATATGCCAGTGTAGACTGCCTTTTATCCATTTTAACCAATTACTTGGTATTTAAGGAACGAAATGCTGAGACTAAATGCTGTGTACTTTCCTATGGCTTTCAGCACATATTATGCCAACTTATGATACTCTCCTTTTTTCCAAAACCTGACCCATACTGATAATAATATGCAAGAGGACTATTTTTCCCTCTCTGTGTGAGATGGAAACCTTTAAGTTTCAAGATTTAGGGGAGTCATTACCTGGACTTAGAGACAACAGATCATGAAGTAGCATTTATTCCAAGAATATAAATCAACACTACCCTGCATATCAATCAAATCTAAAAGAGACCCTACTAACAAAAAGAATAGACTGCCAGAGGGGAAGAAAGTCTGGGATGTTAAAATAAGGGAAAATTTCCTTTAAATGAGCAAGATCTGCAAGGAAGACAGTAGAACCACGAGAGTGCACGGAGCTGCTACAGTCCTGATTCTACGCTTTGGTTTGTCTGAGATCGCTGTGTCTTAAAAGCTGGTGCAGGCCCCGGGCTAGCAATACAAAGAACACCATTTTGTTTCCCAGCAAGCAGGGGTCATACAGATGCTTGCTTCTTTACTCCTGGATGCCTGCAGGTGGCACTGTGGCAGAGCACAGCAGGGAGCTTATTTCCTAGGTCTTACTCTAGGCCAGGTTGCCAAGCAACAGGCCCAGCAGCAAGGCTGATAAGAGACCAAGTTCTTCATTTCCTGGATCACAAAGGAGGGCTTTGCAGGGATTCTGAAGCCAGGGCAGTGGCTAATGAAGTGCTATTAAATGAATGAACTGACTCTTTGAGAACCAGTTACAGTTCTATGTGCAGAATGGTGAAACTGTGAATCCCCATCATTAGAGACAGCCTACAACTGCCTGCCCTTCCCAGAAAGGCTCGTCACGAATGCCAGCCAGTGGAATGGTGGAACGGGCATCAAGCCTAATCAAAACTAATCGGGTGGACTCCCACTTTTTCTAAGTTCAAAACTGCTTTGTTACCAACTTCATACTCCCAACAGATTCCCAAGTTACCTTGCCCATAAAATGAATCTGGTCCCAGGAACTGCCTGTGAAGTTATAGCCTTGCAGAAGGAGGGAAAGGATGTAAGCACCTGAGAAGCAGTATTCACTCAGGTACTTCTCCTTTACTGTAGGATAAGATGCCTTTACCTAAAAGAAAAATGAGGAAAATGTCAAACCTCTACAGCAGGTCGCTCTCTCTGGCTCCTCCTCACTACTAGATCCAGTGAAGAGACAAAATGTCCCCAGCTCATGTGGGTCTGAGGCTCAGGCTCTACCACAGGCTATGGAGGTGGTGTGTCACTCCTTCAGAGGCTGCAGGGTTTTAAGTTCGAGTTTCCTGAGGAAGCTTTTCTTCCTCAGGGCTCACTGTGAGTGTGCTAGGGGGACGGAAGTTCCTTCAGTCTAGGAGTTTCAGAAACAGTCAGCTTCAGCATCTCACTCCATTCCTTACTCAACAATCATGTTAGCGGATTAAAAGCAGTGAGAGCCTCATCCAAGGGAAGTCCATAGGTCTCTTCAAGCAGTCTCTCATATGCCCTCACAGAGTCATTACTCAGAGCTTCTGAAGGCATCTTACGGAGATGATGTCCCGCTCGTGGACAACGTCAGCGTCCCTTGGGAAGGCTCCACTCTTCTCCCAAGGGTTACCAACTCAGACTCTGTATTCTTACTTGATGATTCTGTCTGGGTGTCTGTTTCTTCGCTCTCCCTCTCTCTCTCTTTCACACACACCATCTGTGCACATCAAGAAAGTTGACACCTCCCTCTCCTTCCCTCCTGTCTTCTCTGTCTTGTTTTGGTATTAGTGTAATGCTTAACCTACAGAATCAGTTTGGCGGTATCACATCTTGCTCGTTGTATGGAGCACTGCCTGGTATTAGAGTAATGCTTAACTTGCACAGTCAGTTTGGAGGGATCACTTCCTGTTTCTTGTATGGAGCACATCCTGCTGGTTCTTCCTTAAAGTTTAGTAGAAATTCATAACACTTTCCTTGCAAATCACATCAGTAATACATTACCAAAGTCATGTGCCATGATCAAGTTTGGTTTCATTCTAAAGATGTGAGAATGGTTCACCATATGGAAATCAATAAATGTGACATTGCATATAATAAAATCAAACACAAGAAAATACCATATAGTCATCTCAACAGATACATAAAAGCTCTTTGATAAAATCTAGCAGTCCATTCCTTCTGGTAAGAGCCCTGAAGGAATAGAAAGAACACATGAAGGCTGCCCACCACAGAGCAATATCCACCATACAGGGAAAAGCAGAAAGCATTTCCTCTGTCCACTCTCTCCATTGGGCATCAGTACAGCATGTAGGTTCTGAGTAAAGTGACAACCAGAGAAGGAAACGGAAGGAAAGAAGTCAAACTGTTCCTATCGCAGACACATCCATCATGCCTTACTCTTTTGATCTAATATTCACTAGAGCAATGCTACCAGAAAACACTTCCATGTTACAATTTAGTCAAAATAGTAGGATACATAAATAATCACACAGAAAACTCAGTGGCTTTGCTGTGTATTAAAAATGATCTTACAGGGGCTGGAGAGATGGCTCAGCAGTTAAGAGCACTGACTGTTCTTCCAGAGGTCCTGAGTTCAATTCCCAGCAACCACATGGTGGCTCACAACCATCTGTTATGGGATCCAGTGCCCTCTTCTGGTGTGTCTGAAGACAGCTACAGTGTACTCATATACATAAAATAAATAAATAATTCTTTCAAAAAATTGACCTTACAGACAAAAGAAATCAAGAAAATAATCCCCACTCATAGTGGTCTCAAACAAACAAACAAACAAACAAGTAAACAAACACAGCCTAGAAATAAACCTGATCAGAAAGCTGAGCAAAACCACAACAAAAATGTTCACACTGAAGCAGACACTGGATAGGAAGCCCTTCTACCACAGGGATCAGCGTAATCCATGCTGTCAAAGGATCCCTGCCATCCTGTTGGGAGAGCATCCCTGCCATGCTGTTGGGAGAGCATCCCTGCCATGCTGTTGGGAGAGCAGAAATCAGTGTTTTCATGATGAGGAAACCATACAAAGGCTCCTCAAAATGTATCAAGTAGTTCTGGATGACCCAGCAATTCACTCTCCTGTGAATATCTGAAGGAAATAGAATTAATTTCAGAGAGATACCCGTAGTCTCATTTATTGCAGCACTATCTGGAACAGTACAGATAGGGAATTAACCTATGTTCAGAGAAAATGAGGCTATATATAAAATAAAATGCTAGTTAGCCCTACACACGACACATCAACACACACACACACAGAATGACATCTTCCCTTTTGTACAATACAAGTGAACCTGGAGATTATTTTGTTAAATCAAAGAAACCAAACACAAAAAGGCAAATACTCAATGATCTTTCTCATATGGAATATTAAAAGGTTAACCATTCTTAAGAAACTCATCATTGTATAATTAATGGAGATGCAGAGAGGTTGCATAGCTTTGAGACGGGAGCAGTGGTTACAGAGAACAGGAAAAGCAACAGTACAAGGGACAGAAGGAGGCTGGTAAGGAGGTGAAAGGTCATCACCAGACAGGAATAAGCTCTGTTCTTCTCTTGCACAACAGGTTTACTGTAATTAGCAATAACAAAATACAGATTTTAAAAAGGCTGTTGAATGCTCTCTCCACAAATAAACGGCATATGACTGAGGTGAAAATTATGGCCATTATTCTGATAGATGTGCATGTGCAAATATAACATTGAAATATCATAGTATGTACCGTACCATAAAATTAAAATAAAACAATAGAAAAACCACCTTTTAAAAACAAAGACTGATGGGGGGGTTTGGGGATGATCTTATTTGTCCTGCATAAAGAATAGATGTATCTGCTTCTTCTTTCTTTTAACTGTAAAGGCCGTGGTAGCAACCCTGTAGCCATGACAACAGAACCGAAGAAGCAATGGCTGAGTTAGAAACAAGCGAGTAACCCCATGTGAGCAACTGCTTGTTGCTTAAATGTGAGATGTTGCTTAAGCCATTAGACATCATCAAGGAATGGTGATGAAGGCATTCCTAGGCCCACTCTCTGGCCTCCTTAACACACTGGCTGGACCCTTGGCAAACCATCATAAGGTCATGTGCAGATTCACATCCTCCATGACACTGAGGATACGGGACCAATTTCACAGTTGTGGTTTCTGGTCACTTACCTCCTCCCAAGGTTTTGAGCAAAAAATTTTTGTTATCTCAGTCATTTTCTCCTGAGAGGAGACACTGCCATTTGCCATCTTCTTAAAAAAATCCATCACAAAGTAGAAAGCAGAAAATGCCTGTGGGAGGAGAGAAGAGAGTTTCAGGCTGCATCCAACACACAGGGACATGGACTCAAAGCCTCCCAGAGCTCAGTTCCGGCTCCAACCCTCTACGAGCAATCCCATGGGGCAAACAAGCTGGCTGCTCCAATTTCAGCTAAAAATAAACACAGTGGAAGTTTCTTTAAAGATACACAATTTAATTTTTTATGTAGAACTCATATCTAACTTAGAAAAAATAAGTAAATGTGTGCATTGGTCCATTTGTATGACTCATAGTCCATTTGTATCGTTAAGTTTTTTTTAACCCTGATTTTTCCAGCACATCCAATCTAAACAGTTGTCTGGTAATATGGCGGGCATTCTGCTTGTATCAGCTTTCTAAGAACACAATGAAGAAAGTTAACATCAAATGTATCTATAAACAAATAAAAAGGTATAACCAAAATATATTGAGGGGATTTTTGACATTGTTTAGATGAAGCCATGGTAAGCACATTTGTGGAAACAGAAACAGGCCCCACATTTGGGATCAGGAATCTGTCCCCAAACTGGCCACTCGACTGATCCCTTCTCCTGACTCTGTATTGTTCTGTCTTGTTCATCTGTGCCAACTTGCTTGTCTGCTTACCAAACTCTAGGGTTTAGTTTGGCTCTGCTCTGCCAAGAAGCTTCATAGAGCTAGGGGTGGTGTCAGGATGGGGTCACTTTTCTCAGCATTTGTGTATGAATCTACCTTCCAAACTTGTATGTGGACTCAGCTGCTGATTCCTGTGGAGTGTTCACTCCCAGACACTGTCCTGCTTAGTCAGGCTCCTGTTTGGACTTTAGTCTCTCATTTCCATGTACATTTTGCTATGGGATAAAGGTTCCATAAGCTGGGATCCCAGATCCACCACAGGGATGATCCAATAAATGTTATGTGGATTTTTCAGTTTACTTCTTGATGTCCATTTTTCTGATTGAAAGATTCTTAGCTTTCCTCAAATTCTCCAGAATTTTGTGGTCCCCTGAGGGGTTAAGCAAGACTGGACTGTTGAAGACATTATGCTAAATGAAAGAAGCCAGTCACAAAATACAAATAGCATTTGATTCTGCTGGGATGATAGCGTCTGGGATAGCCTGGGCAGGGATGGGGGCGTTGGACGTGTGGGGAGGGTGTTATCATAGAGATAAAGGAAGAGAACTGGAGCAGGGTCTTAGCATCCCCCCAAGGACTTCCACCACCTTTGGCTTTGTTCAACAGCCAAATGTCAGCACTCTGAAATCGAATCTCAGATCTCAGAGAGTTTCAGACTGTAAGGCATTTTGGATTGTGAAGACATTTCGTCATTTGCTATCACTAAAACAGAGGTAAACCTAAGAGAAAAGATCAAAATTTATGCACACCAACACTGATGTGTGACAGTGTACGATTAACACTATTACACAATTAACACCATGTGACCAACACTGATGTGTGACAGTGTATAATTAACACAATTGCACAATTAACACTGTACAACCAACACAGATGTGTTACTAGTATACCATTAACCTGTATGACCCCATTGCATTGCTTTACGGTGAGGCTCAAGTGTTGCAAACCTCTAGCTGATATGCCATACGACACTTCTGTCCTTCCCATGAACAATTCATCTTTCTAGTGCAGTTTGTACTACAGTAAAAAAGCTATCTCTTACGGTTTCTGCATACTTCCACTGCATGCAATGTGTGTAACATATAAAATATGTTCTATTTAACTGCCAAGGTCATTGGCAAGGCTTCTAGTCAACAGCAATAGAGTACTAGTAGCTAGGTTTTTGAGGGAACTTAAAGTCTAGGCAGTAGCAAGAGCACAGAATAGACCTCAGAGGCCCCTGACTGTCTGTCATCACTGCCTCCATGAGCTTTGAGGCAAAGACCCAACAGCCACCATTGTCCTCCAAACCAGCATGCAAGGTGTTCTAGCCCACGTTGCTTCACTGCTGTGATGGTGGCAGCCAGTGGCCAGAAATGGTCATTATGGAAGAGTTGATGACAGTAAATGGTGCCAAGTAAGAAGTGGATATGACTTCATAAGCAGAGGCGACTGACACCAAGGAGGATGTGTTTGTATACCAGATGCCACCAAAAGTAACAAACACATTGAACAATTTGTCAGTGTTCAGACAGACAGACAGACAGACAGATGGTGGAGCTCTATGTTTCCAGAGGAGGAGAGGGCACACAGGCAGCAGCTGTGACAGGCTCTGCTGCACAGAGTGAGCATGCAGCTTTTAGCAACCACATAACAGGGCTCCTCCACATGGATTTCAGAACTGCAGGGGACGAGTGAGGGAGGCATCCATCAGAAAGTGCTCCCGGGAGGACAGGTCCCACAGTGAGAGCTAGCCCTGCAGAAACACTTGTGCGTCTCTGCTTTACAAGAGTCCAGCCCTCCTGGGTGGAATAAGTGTGAGTGTTGACAGTTTGTCTGGTGGTAGGACAGCAGAGGAGCCCAGTGCAGCAGATTCTGTTTGGGGGCAGCTGGTTACAGATCACTTCTCTGCAGGAGCCTTCCTACCAGAAGCAAGCAGAAGGGGCAGCCATAAGAATGAGAAGCAAAGTCCACCTGAGCCCTGAGGCTCGCAAGCCCCCTCCAGGTTACTGTTACCTCACGAATACTACTAATGCAGGTGCCCAGAAAACTCAGACCCACACGATGACAAAGAGACAAAAAGCAGCTGGCCCAACAGCTGAGAATCCATGCATCCTGCAGCTGGGCCTGGGTAACAGCTGAGTAATTGTTAGGTAGGCTATACCAGCCAGTAGTCCAACCACAGAAGATGAGCAGGGAGCCTCGGCAGTAAAAAGCAAAGGGAGATTGAGGCTGAGACCTCAGGTGTTGGATTTCACCCCTTGACCAGATAATGAGATTGGCATTAGCTAGGCAGCATGGGGCTTTGGGCATTTTTTTTTCCCTAAGGATGCCTCTGTTTGCTAATAACAAATATGTCCTTGTAAGTCTAGATTTTTCTCATTGTACCTTCAAAGATTTCAGGTTGTTTCATGTCTGGTCATGTTGAGATTCTTTGACAACTTCACGTTTAATTTGTAATAAATGTTTCCAAACCTGATTTCTTTCAAAGGAGGAAGAAAAGAGGACAATATGGAGAGGAAGAAAGGGACAGCTGGCAGCATACATCTAACTACATGGGAGTTGGAGATAGGAGACTGCAAGTTCAAGGCCAGCCTAGACAACACATTCCTGATTCGAAATTTTAAAATACCTATTAATAAATTTTAAGTAAATTTCAAATAGCTGTATGTGGGTTTTTAACCGTGTTTTTTGTTGTTGTTGTTGTTGTTGGCTGGCAGGACACACACATATGTAACGCTTTTTAAATGGGCTTTAATTACACTTCTCTATCGCTGCTCTTTCTTGTTTATGTAAGTTGTACAATGTGTTCTTCAGAAATGATTTCTAAATTACTTCATAAATAATTCTCAACAGATGTTTTCTCCTTTCTGTTGGTGTTTCTAGTTTGCTTTGACACTGGATTCAATCTAGATGCCGAGGCCACAACGGAGCCAGACTGGAGGACACAGGCTGATTTTGCTACTGCCTTTACAAAGTAACCATAGAGCATCAGGGCTGACTACAATCGTAACAAGGCTTCCCTCTGCACAAGCCCTCTGCCTCACAGCTCCAGATTAGCCGGCTCTGGGAACGACAGGAGTCTGGTTGGGTTTATCCTTCCTAGCTCCAACTACAGTGAAAAAGCCCTTAGCATTCTTGGCAACCTTATCCATACGCTTCCCTATTGTGCCTTCTTCCTTCCTCTTTAAAAAGTTTCACTCAAGTCAGGGAAGGACCCAAGTCTCTGAAAGCATAACAGGAACTAATACCACCACATGGCACTGAAGCCAGGCTCTGGTTGGGGAACTGATGCCAGCAGCTGACCAACTATTCTGCAGCCAGTGCTGCTGCAATACTCTTCCCAGGAGCTTCTGAAGAAGGTTGGAAAGCTATCCCTTGCCACAAGGCATGCCTGGGTCCATGGCTCTCCCGACTGTTTCTCAGAGGCTAAGAGTACAGAGAGCACCTACGGTTCACAGCACAAGAGTTCAGTCAGCTCTGATGACAGCAGACCCTGTGCTCTCTGTGCCTGGGGCTTTTTATGTGACATTAGGTTGGGTATACAGACCATGCAAATGAACAAATACCTCTCATTCTGGGTTCCAGGGGTGGAACTAAATCTCCTCTCATCTGTTCTTTTTCCTCAAGAGGGAGAAAGGTAGACAAAGGCCCCCGATTCTTTGATTGACACTGTGGACAATCAATGTATGCATCTGTAACCATGGCTTTGTAATTGGCACTTGCTGGATGGTAGGCAACTCGTGCAATGTACTTCTTAACTGTGATTACAATAGTGTTTGGTCTCAAGAAACAACAGGCGATCTAAATAATTAATAGACCAAGGGGCATCTTTCCTCTTTATCTTATCTTGTTCTGGACAGATTAGGAAAAGAAGGAATTGGGAGTTAGGATCCAATAGTCACACAGCCCTCCAAACGGGAATGAAACGGATGCTTGTTTAAGTTCTCCTTTAGTGCTTTCCCAATCTTCTGCTTCCCAAATGTTTCTTAGAGAAGAAATCCCTCGGTGGAGTCATCCCACGTCTGACATTCAGGGTATTGCTCTCAGCAGACTCTGATTGGTGCATATCCCTTCTTCTCCCTTGTTTATGGTACTCTCATTTTATCCAGGTAGATAAACCAAACAATAATTAACCTAAGCCAAACATGGTATTTTTATCAGACGGCTTCAGGATGTGCACTTCACCAAGGTCTGGCCGACAGACTAAAAAGCTACCTGTTGGCTCTGGTGTGTGAGAGAGATGCATGAAGAGAAACCTCTCACCACTATTCTCTTTCCTACCTTGAGATGGCTGGGGAGGACATAAAGCCTGGAGCGGCAGTCACCCTGTTTGCACCATGAAAAAAATAAGATGATACTGGAGAAGCTGGTCCTAATCATTAACATCGTTAGGCCAAGTAGCAAACGCCTAGTTGTATCCAGACATTACTGTGTGTAGGTCTACATTATTTAAATGCTTTATAGGCATGTCTTGCACAACTTGTAACACCAGACACACTAACCAATATATCTCACCATTTCACAAACTTACCCCAAAACTCCCATGGAGAGGTGGCAAGAAGACACCATTGAAGGCACACTGGGAGTAAGGGCAGTGGCTGGTGTCGAAGAGCTTAAGGATGCTCTGGCGGCACTGCTCGTAGTCTCCAGCACCCTGGACTTGAATCTGATCAAACGGTAGCTTCTTCTCATATCTCTTGGTGCAGGGGGTGCCATAGAGTTCGCTTACATTCACAACCTTCTCATATCCTGGGTTAAAGCATGGGTCCTTAAGAATCCGGGCACTTGAAACCTGAATAGAAGAAGCACTTGAATGCTAATTGATCATACTCAGTGTGGTGTCACCGTGTCCCTGTCCTGTCTTCACCACCCTTGGGGATATGTTTTTAAAACCTGAACCCAGAAACGCCATGACCTGGGAATGTCTCTGGCCTCACAGTGCTAAGCACACAGTAGGTATACAAGTAAGAATCTCAGGAAGACTCCAGCCTAGGTGTACCTGTGTCTGCATGCTTTCCCCTTTCCTTTTCCCCAACCAGACTGGGAGCTTCAGGAGTGGGAAGATGCCTTAGATCTTTTGGAGGCTGCTGTGGATAAGAGACCAGGGTATCTTTCAGCTACACTTGCTTCTAGATGGCAGTCTTGATGGTGATGGTTTTACCAACAAGAGAGGTTATGGAGGAGAGAGGAAAACTGACTGTCCTTCCCTCGAGACAGGACAGCTGGATGTGACAGCTTCCTCTGTGTTTATTTGCCAGGGAGGGTCTGGTAATCTCATTACATCAAGCATTTATTCTTGCATTCAAAATGCAGAAAGCATCTGGGGACAATAAAGTATTGATTGACAAATTCTGTATTTTCCCAACAGTGGGGGATTTTTTTTCCTCTCTGATTACAAAAATGGTGTAGACAAACTTACAAATGATCATTCCTCCCCCAAGCATACTCCAGCATGTAAGTTGCATTATCATCACCACCAGGGCCAGAAATTAATTCCCATGAAAAGATCTGAGTGGTGTCCTTGGAGATAGTACAGTAAACAAACATGGGAGTGGATGTCTGGGTGGACCGACCGACTCACAGGGGTCCACCAGATGTAGCTCAGTGTCTTGCCTGAGAAGGCTTGGGGAGTGCAATGGCCAACTTTGGAGCAGTTACTGAATTACAAAGGGGAAATAACAGGATGTGGGGGCTGAGGAGCAGATGTGGGGAGAGCACAACTGAATTCAGTTGCACTTGCCTGAATGTCCTTGGCCAGTTTCTGCCAGAGCGCCTGATCCTTCCCATAGCACAGGAAGCTGTGTGTGTACACAGTGTAGTCCTCGCCGTAGAGACGAAACTGCAGAGAATTTTCTGGGGACTCTATAGTGCTGTTTAGGGGCACGAAGGTGATCTGTGTAGAGGCTCCGCCAAGATCCAAAGCGCCAAAGGTTTCCTGTTTCTGGCTGTCTGAGATGAGGTTTAGCCAACTCTGTTCCTGAAAGAAAGGACAGAAGTCTTTGGGCATCCTATCTCCCAAGATGGAGAACCAGGGGCAGAGAGTCGGGCAAAGCCTACTGTGGGTTCCCAAAATAGGACCAGATCAATAGACAGCAAGAGGGCTTCAAAGACACAGCTCAGAGAACAGCAGAGCGGAGCCGGGGCAACTATGGTCACTAAACAAGAACAAATCCCCACTCAGCCACCAGCTGAGTGACCTGGGCCAGAAAAGGCTCTATTTTTAAGCATCATTATGGGGGCTCTATGGATGTGGGTAATAATGTGCCCACCTGTGGCTGTGCTGAGGAGTGAGTCACACGGGGGTGGGGGGGGGCAGGCTGCCAAGCACCCCTCACTTAGCAAATACGGTCTCATTTTGCTTTGCTTTAAACCTAGTCTTACTACATTGTTCAGGCTGGACTTCAACTTGCAATTCTCCTGCCTCGGTCTCACTCAAGTCTCTGCCCAGTTAGTTTTATTTTTTAACCAGATTAAAATGATATCAAGTGAAATATGTTTGGGGGCTGGAGAGATCTCGGTGGTTGAGAGCACATACTGCTCTTGCAGGGGACTGGAATTTGATTCCTAACACTGGGAGGCTCACAGCTGCATGTAGCTCCAGTTCCAGAAGATCTGACAGCCTCTTCTGACCTCTGAAGACACTCGTGTGCAGGCACTCACACACAGATGCACACACATACACATAATCTTTTAAGATGAATTCTTTAAAGTAGATTTTCTTTTCCCCTGTGTCTCCCTGAGATGAAGACATGGCTTTGATATTCTCCAGTAATAACACTAAGGCAAATATACCTCTAGTGATGGTTACAAATATAGGAGTATGTTCATCCATTCATTTATCTACCCATCATTCACTTTGCTAAAGACCCCAATATTGCCCAAGAGAGTAAAGGCATTGACTCTCTGGGAACCACCTCATCCGTGGAGTGAGGCATTTACCTGAGTGAATCTGCCCAGCAGATAGTTGATAGTGATCCATCCGTAGGCACCTTCCTCCTGTCCGGTGATGATCTTGGCACCCTGGAAGTCAAAGGGGTAGTCCTTAAGGCTTCTTGACACTGCAGCCAGGACCTTGTCTGCTGATTGTTCGCTTTCCATTCTACACAAAAGAAGGGGTGATATTATCTTTTGGGTTTGTTTGTGTTTTGTCTTTATAGTTACACCTACCCATTTCAGCTAGAGAACCTAACACACCAGATTGGAAGATAGGAGGACCCTGTGCATGGCTCTGTCTCTCCAAGTTCCAATCCTCCAGTTATTAAATAGATGTTTCTTTTTAAAGTACCAGTTTGGCTTTGTTCCCTGGCTCAAAAAGTATCAAAGTTTCTTTCAATGACGGTGGAGGTAGCCTGGCGTTATCTGGTCACATTGAGAGCTGGGATGTGAGGTTTTAGCCATCACCGTGGTCCTGCTTCTCCACACCTTAGATTCTGAGTAACGTCACGTAGGACTGTAGAAATGAGTACCAGACACCCAAGTTCCTCTGCAGCCAGCCTGGGAAAACTCTTCCTCTATTGTCATTCAGGTCTTAGGTCTGTTTGAAACTTGGAGACATGAGGGAATCTTCAGGGTTATCATATGAAGATGAAATGTGGCTGTTCTGAAACCCAGAGAGACTCTGAGTAAAATGGGGTCGCTCATACAAACAGCTTCCCTAGCCTTCCAGCTCCAGTCTACCTTCCAGTATTGATAACTGCATTGCATCCTTACACAGCTTCTCACTTCTCCAACCTCCACCAGGCCCTTTCTGGTCTAGAGATCCTGCCACTCGTGGCCCTGGCTCTGCCACTTTCCAGCCATGTGGCTTCTGGTGAGCAACTTAACATTTCTAAACTGCATTTTTTCCTCTGGTTAATTAATATCTTTGCTTCATGGTAACCTTCATGACTAAGCAATGTGTTTCTAGTATTTAGCACCTCGCTGAGACACGAGCTTCTATTACTTTACTTCCTCCCAGTCTCCTTCCTATTTCACAATCCTGACTGCCCTGGCTTCTCAATTCCCTACCTTTGCACATCACTAGAGCATAAACTCCATGTTGTTTGATACTTTATCCCCAGCACCTAAGACCACCTGTGGCACCTAATAGTGTTAAACAGATATCTAACTGAACGGATGCTGTGCTCTGCCAGGGCCTGCCCCCCTCACTCCGGCCTCTCCTCTGCTCATGCAGTCCTGATGTGACAGGCCATTCTGCCCACCTTCCATCCTGAGCAATCCCATGAGTTCCTTCGGCAGCTCTGTATAATCCTCTGTTAATCAACAGGTTGCCCTAGATAGATGCCTAGTTTCCTTGAGGGCTGAGTCACCTTCTCATGTGTTGTGGACTGAGGAGGCGGTCATGCCACACTGGATGGACAGCGTCCGAGGTACACAACGCACACAGATATTGATGGGGGGACCAGCCAAGCTTTGTTGGCTGTAGTTTACTTGTCTTGGGATATTAGTGGGTCTCCCTTTACCTTCTTCCTCCCAGATATTGATTGATTCTATCTTCAACCCCAAATTTTGGAGTGCATGGCCTTAATCTTTCTCTCTTAATCTTTCTGTCTACTTCCCCAAGGGAGACAGGCAGGCTCTTTTAAATACTTAGAACTTATATAAGCTTAATAAACTTATTTCCTAGCACAGGATTTGGCGTGTGAGGTAACTACAAGTCCCACAATGTCAGGCACCTAAGCACCGCCTCTAACTTCCAGCACAATACTCTCTCTCTATTGCTTTACCTAAGTAAGCGCATGCCTGCCGTGGCCCCCAGGTAAACAGGTGTCTGAGGCTGCTTGGATGTTGGTATCAATTCAGTGGATAGTTCCATGCATTCAGCCAGGTATGCACCTATTTCGTCTGTTTTCTGAGCATATTTTGAGATTCCAGGACCTGAGGAAAGATACAGAAGATGGAAACCCTTAAAAGAAAAAGTGTGGAGTGTGTATCTTGACCATTTAGAAAAAAAAGTGTTTGCTAAAAAAATAGAAAACACTTCTTGGTATAATATACATCGGGTTGTATTTCTTAGATGGAAGAGTAGTTGCAGTCAGAAGCACCTGTGAATGAGTGTGGCACCCTTTGGTTGTGTCTGTTTGCAGAGAGGTTTACCTGGGGAGGAAGGATGTGAACTGCAAGACTACAGTTGCCATGGTTTCCTCACCATGATGGACTGTGTTTCCCTTAGAACCAAGAGCTGGTATTAGTCCTTCTTCCTTTAAGTTTCTCTCTCAAGTATTCCATTATAGTTGGGGGGGGGGGAGTAGCTAATACATGTATAGTATTGTATTATTTTTTTAATCTTGTGATTTTAAATTTTTGCTGGTAAAACCTGGTGTTCATCTATTTAGCCACGAGGTGGTGCTATTTCACACCTTCTGACATTGTAAGAGCATTATGCAGCTCTTACAGCAGCTTCTCTGTTAGCCTCTTTGAATGATCCTTCCACAGAGTTGTAATTAGCAACATTAGTTCCTAGAGGCCCTGTGTAAAGATGACATTTAGCGCAAAAGTTAAAGTACTCGACACACTGGCTTTTCCTGAAAAGACAGCATGTTGTTAACTAGCTATGTCATAGAATGTGCCCTAAAATTTATAGGGTTTCCTTGTTAGAATAAACAGAAAAAGAAAATCCTGAAAGTCTTTTGCTCCAGTACCCTGCCTCCCTACTGAGGCTGTTGTTATTTCAATTTTAGAGCAAACTAACGGTTGCTATGGAGAGGACTGGAGCCAAGACTCCTAGTTTCCATCTCACTCTGAGGTGGATTCCACAGTGCTTCCTACCAAGAATTTGCTTTCAAGGTGATTATTCAGATGAGCTTTTAACAGCCTGTTTGTGTAACATAATGAGAGGCCCCATGCTCTGTTAGCAGCTTAGGTCTGATTCAGGAAATCTGTCCTTAGTGTTTCGCTAGCTCTGTATTTGTGGGTCCAGACAGATAACGATCCTCAGAAGAAAGACACCTGTGGAACCCTTAGCACTCCGGAGCACTGCCTCGGTACAGCAAGGCCTGTGTTGGCACACCAGGCTCCGGGAAAAGTGGCTTTCTCTATCCTTGCCCAGTTCCTTGGCAAATTATAAAAATCAGTGGAAACTACTCGCTATCAGATTAAAAGTCGCTTCTCTTCTGGGATCCGTATTACCTGTTTGAAAAGAAACAGTGTGTTCTTGGCTCAAAAGGCCAACAGAGACCAAGATCACAAGGGCGCATGGTGGGAAGCAGGACAAAGCAAGTCAGGGGAGCTGAGTGGTCAGCCATCCTCCTCCTCCGGGTGTGATGTTAAAAGTGACTTTGCGGGTTTGGGGGGATTATCCAGTTATCAGCATATAAAGCAGCACTTCTGTGCAAGCCTGTAGTGCAGCTAGGGGCCTGGACCACCAGCTGGATTCTTGCCATTTACAGAGTACTAATCCACCAGGCTTTTGCTTCCTTCCCTGGAAAATGAGAGTTAAATGACCCCAGCCCTAAAAGTCTGTGACCTACTCTTCCCTGCCTCTGAAGAGAACAAAAGCCGTTGAGATTTTCCTCCAAGCTGCAGTCTGAGCCTGAGAGTAAGCAGAGAGGTGGAGCATCCCACCAGAAGCACCGGGAACTTGGTAGAAGTGTAAACTGCCAGGCTCCCACCCAGACCTGTTGACTTGGGAACTCTGGTGGTAGGAGGTCCTATGTCCATGTTCTAAGAGTCCCCACCCCAATCCCATGTTGTTCTGGGTAATTTCAAGTCTGAAAATGACAGGCTCAGATATAGATCTGACAGCCAGCTCCATCTGTCGCCAACTTAAGTAACTTTAAACAAGTGACATGGCCTGTCTAATCTAGCTGCCCTCATTTTTAAGACAGGGCTGCTGCTCACCCAACAGATCATGAGAGTGAAAAATACGTGCTGAGTTCATAAATACAGGATGCAGTGATACAGGGATACACAGACATGCCCTATTGACAAGAGCTATTATTGTTCAGCTCTTGTGTGTGTGTGTGTTTGTGTGTGTGTGTGTGTGTGTGTATGTGTGTGTGTGTGTGTGTGTTTTGCTGAGAATCTAGCGTAAAACATCATGAATATTAAGCCTGCACAATATAACTGAGCTACACCTTCAGCTATTTTTAAATTTGCCTCTTTTTCAAGGATTGATCTCAATATTATTGTTACTATTGAGAGTAATGAGGACTGAGCACAGGGCCTCATGCATGTGAGGCCTATGTCAACTGCTGAGCTGCATCCAAGTTTTGGCAGAGATGCATAAGGCAGAGTCTTACTAGGTTGTCCAGGCTGGCCATGAACACACTCTGTGGTCCAGGCAGGCCTGAAATTGATGATCTACCTGCTTACCAGCCTGTGCTCCTAGGCCTGGCTCAGCTTCATTTTATAGTGATAATAAAATACCAGTGGTAGTTCCTCATTTGGCTCTGTTCAGTATTTGTGCCTCTCACGCCCTCGTGCCCTGCTCTCCTGTCCCACAGCCCCCATCTTACCTTTCACTTGGCATTCCTCTAACTGCTGCACCACCCCTGTATCATTCTCCTTCTCAGCTGGCCACTTGTAGATGTACAGGTTGGTGTGAGACGACCCCGCATCCAGCACAATCCCATACTGAGGGCGAAGCAAATTTAAAACACTTATCAGCATGACAGCACACTTCTCCATATTTAGCTTGCAAAGGAAGTAGACAGAGACAGGAATTTTACTCTCTCTAAGCTAAGTGGAACATTTGGTGTTGAGAACTAGAGAGACCATCCTCAATGCCATGGATTACCAGTGCCCCGCTCTAGATAAGGACTCAAGGTGCTGACTGCACCTTAGAAATATCCAGGCCTTACCCAGAGCAGGCCTGAGCCATGGGGTTATTTAGAAAATGCTCAGTTATTCTAGTATGAGGCTGTGATCAGTCCCACACGCTGAAGCAGCTGAGACACTGTGAAAGGAACAGAAAACAAAACCAGGGCTTCCCAAACTTGTCCACACCCTGGCATCAGCTGAGAGCTCCAGAGGCTGACGCCCCATCCCACCTCAGACTGGTTTAGAGTGGTTTGCTCAGCAGCAGCAGCCTGAGAGCCTGTGGAATTCTAAGGTTCAGACAAGCCTGGTGACCACTGAGCTAGCCCACAGAGGCTACAGAGAGAAATAAACGTGTTCAATTGATTTGGGTTCTGTGACTGTGGAGTTTTATTTTAAAGAGAGAAGTGCTAAGTGGGCTTGCTTTTTTAATTCAGAAAACTGTAAAGCCGTATTTGGCTTATGTTAAGACGTATATACTTCATGTCTGCAGCTCTTTAAAAGGAGGAGGAAGTTGCAGGAGTTAATGAAATCGGGAAAATGGGAGCACAGACAGGCAGCTCAAAGGCCTTTGAGCCCCAAGACCCATGTGAAAAGCTGGGCGTGGTGCTGTGCCCGAGATCCTGACAGTGCACGGCCTCGGTGGGTCTGAGGCTCACTGGTGAGCTAGCCTGTCCTGATCAGCAAGGCCCGGGCCCCAGGGAGGGCTGCATTTCAAAGAAAAAGGTGGATGGTGCCTATGGAGGAATGTCGCCAGAGGTTGCCTTCTGTCTCCACACATATGTGTACAGATGTGTAGGTATGTTCATACATGTGTGATGGTGGCGTACCAAGCAGGGATTGGGTGAAGCATTTTAGACAGGAATTACTTTATTTGAACTCAGAACAATGCCAAGAAGGAGAGGCTATTTTTATCCTTTTTATATAGATGAGAAACTACCAGAAGGTACTTAATAAATCTAGTCTGATTTAGGCTCAGAATCAAGACCTTGTCCTTGGAACGTAGAGCAAGGGCTGGGCGCAAGCCAGGCTTCTCGGAGATGCTCCCTTCTAAAGACATGTGTAAGGACAACTCTAGTGTACAGATGCGAGGGTGCTCCCCAGTGAACTTCTGTACAGTACACACCCATCGACACTAGCAGAATCAAGACATTGCCAGCCCAGCAGGCTACCTGATGCTCATGTAGTCATTTTCCCAAGGAGCACTCACTGCACTGACGTTTGACACCAAAGATGACTTTTGTCTGTTTTGAGCTGTAACTAATGGAAATCTCATAGCATAGGCACTAGGTGTAATCTCACTCACTCTACCATGTACAACACATTTGAGCACTGTTCTTTATTCATGCTTGCCCAGTGCTGTAGAGTATTCCACTGTGTGCACACACTGTGTTTTTATTTATTCTAATGTTGATAGACATCTGGGTTATTTCTAATTGAGACTATTAGGAATGTAGCTGCTTTGAACATTTGTGAGATTTCACTTTTATAGAATAAAAGCTTTATTGTTTTTTTTTCTTTCCTTCTTTTTTTTAAGCTTTCTCTCCCATGGAGTAGACTAACAAATGCCCATGTTGTTCAATTAATATTCACTAAATTGGGGATAAATCTGATATTGATTAGTGACTCCTTCCCTGGGCTCTATAAGGATAACATGCAGTTTGTTTTCACATAAGTGTAAGTGGTGTCCTGTGAGTACGTATGTTCACATGCATGTGGCCACATGTAAGTGAATGCATGTGGAAGCCTGAGGTTGACACCAGGAGTCTCTGTCAATTACTCTCCGCCTTGTTCACTGAGGCAGGGTTGCCAACAGAGCTAGTCTGGCCTGTCTAGTCAGTTTGCTACTGGGGTCCCCTATCTCCACCTTCTGAACAGTGGGGTTAGGGACAGTCTGCCACGGCCTCCAGCATTTATGTGGCCTGGGAGTCAGAACTCTGGTCCTTATGCTCACCCAGCAAGTGTTGTATCAGAGCCATCTCTCCAGCCCTTGAACATCCATTCTTTAATCATCTCTAATGCAAAAGTGAGGGAAAGGAAAGCAGAGCAATGGTGCCCTTTGGGCTGTGCAGGTCAAACTGTGGCCTCCATTTGAAAAAAGGACTATTTATATATTTATAATCTATATTTATATTATACAAGTTCATATTGTCTCATCTATTAATACCTAAGAGACAACAGGTAGAAAAGACAGGAGTGAAAATTTAAGAGAGAACTCTGGGCCACGAAGAAGGCAGAGCCTCTTGGGTACCTAAAGTCATTCCATTCACTAGGAGGCCACTCTGTACAGACCTCCTGAGAATCCTTGCTGTTCCAATCCTCCACAGTGTTCTCTGCCTCCTTATGCATAGTGCAGGGGTGGGGGTCTCTTTAGTAATTAGTTTTATGTGCTCAAAAAGAAAAGGCTCTGTATACATGCACTGAGCACAACCAGGAAGCAAACAGGGCAGGCCTCTCTGAATCATGAGAACCCAGGAACTGCCTTAGGTGACCATGATGGGTGGGAAGGAATGCTGGTTGGGGTCCAGAGCCTTTAGACTCCACGGAAACCTCCCAGGGTTTGAGTAAAGGCTCTTGGGTTACACAGTGAAATTTTCCATTGTCTCCTAGCAGAGCCCCTGAGTTCTTCCTACCAGAAAATGCTTCAGCTACAGTGGCTCATGATAAAAGCGAGAGAGGCTGCAGCAAGTAGCCTTTATCTGGAATCAGGACAGCCCATTCTTTCTATTTTTGTTAACATGGAAGCCTCCTCTCCAGGAGAGACAAAAAGCCGCCCTTGCTTCTGTCAGCCTGTTTCTCTAAGGCCATACACAGCGAGACTGTGGAGATATGAAAACATTATCACACTTGTTTGCAAGTATTTAAGAAGGTGGCACGAGATATTCCACAAGAATGGAGGACAATCTACCCCATACACAGCACTGGAAGTCTAACTTGTGAACCATGCCTGCTGAGGGCTAACCTGTGAACCATGTCCGCTGAGGGCTGCTTTGGGTTACCTCCTAAATTGTCTCATAGAACAAACAGTTGACATTTTGAGAACAGCTAAAGCTGGACAGCCCATGTTCTAAGTCTACACACTTGGGGAGGTTGCTTCTTGTGGTTCCATTGCTCCCCAGGGCCCCTGGTAGTCCCCAGCTTATGCTCTGCCCACCACCAGAACATTCTGCAGAGCATGTTCCAGGATACACAGGGCCACAGGATCGCAGTAAATCAACATTGCCGGAAGTTTGAGGAATGTCCCTTCTTCCTCCTTCCTGGACACATCATCCCATTAGCTAGTGACTTTAGGGAAATCTGACCGTGGGAGGAAGCAATGTTTTCCTGTAGCACATGTGTAAAGCATTTCTAAAAATCCGTATATGTATACCTTTCATATTAAAGAAAAAATAAGATTCAAATGGTAAGGAAGAAATATGCATGTCATTATTATTATTATTATTATTATTATTATTATTATTTCAATAGTACTTGTTATTTTAAAAGTGCTAGAACCTATTAAAGATCACCTAGAAAATGAAGGGGAAAAACACTCAAAATTCCATCTAGATGTTTTTATTAACACCTAATCACCAAATCTTTTCTTCTTTCCAGTCTTTTTAAGTACGCATTTTCCATAGAGAAATGGTCTTTCTAAGCTACCTACTGTGGTAAGATTTTCCCTGTCCACTCTATTTAAATATTAGTGCAGCAGGAGGCCTGTGACTGAACAGGGAAAAGAGAGGCAGCGCTAAGAGTTGTATAGAGAAGGATGCAGAGAGAGAGGGAGAATCAAGATAGAAGATGAACAGCATGATTCTCCCTTCCTTTCATACAGTATTTTAGTTTACTTCATTTGTTTTGGATTGTTTTAATTCTCAAAATGAGTATGATTTTGAGTTTTGTAGTTATATTATTCCTCTTGAAGAGAGGTCTAAATAAAGGATTTTCTGATTACTGGCTCAAGGATATGCTGATTTGGGAGAAAGGTCTTGTCTTTTGTTTTTAGAAAAGGTGTTTAGTGTTTATACACCTTCCAGAGTAATATGGATCAGATTTGATAGAGGGAGACCCCCGAGAATTAGATTCCAGAGAAACAAACAAACAACAACTACAAAAAAGAGGTTATCTTGATGATACTAAAATTTTGTTTTGAGATTTGTGTATTACAGAATATACAGCTTTGGTGAGTCTCCTCGTCAGACATGCTGGACTGACCTGCTTGAACTGATGTCCTGGACTTCCAGCTGGATCCAGTTAAAACAGATATCAGAGACTAAATCAACCTTTGATGTGGCCTTTTTAAGGCCACACCAACTCCTCCATTTTCCCTACTGTCTATCCCTTCAAAAATATCTCAATGCCCATAATCAGCTAGAGAGAGTAGCCTCTCAGGACCATGCCTGGGCTGAGAGAGTTGGCAGCAGTAGCGCGGGAAGCCTGCTGGTTGTTTGTTTTTTTAAAATACTTCCCTCAACAACCCACAGTCTCATAATCTAAAGCAGTGAGCCTGGGGCTGGCTTACACACTCTACCCTAAATAGCACAACCAGGTGCTTTGGCATAATGCTTTCCTCTCCAATATGAACACTTTGGAACTGAGTCCCATGTGGGTATGCTGGGAGGCGGGGCCTCATGAGCATATTCAGGGCATGAAGATGCTACTTTCATGAGTAAATTAATGACCCAATGAAGTGGGCATTGGGAAGGTGCCTGCCTTTTTCTAATCCTCTAATCCACTGTCCACACAAGGAGTAGTGTCCCCTTGCCACAATGCAGCGTCCAGGATGTTGGTTTAGAAACAGAGATTAGGCCCTTGCTAGACTTGAAGTACACTTAAAACAAATTCATAGACCTTGGGCTACCCAGTCTCCAGAAGAGAAAGTACTCGAGAAAGTAAAGATCCCATCTTTACAAATTATACTTTAGTAGTAGTCTGTTATAGCAGTCCAAAAGGGACAATGACTCTAACTACCGGGGGAACCTCACAGAAAAACTGGGTCTTTGACCCTCCCTGCCTTTAAAGTGTTTGTAGCTTTAACAGTGACTTTGGCAGCCCTGTTGGTCTGTCTCAGGGAGCCTGGGCTTATAAACAAAGATTATCTTTTACAATGTGTTTCTAATACCCTATAAACAGCAATGCCAGTGGAGATGATAAACATCTAGAAACTATTTATTCATCTTTTTTTTCCTTTAGTCATAGTCACTAGATCCTGAATATAAACTCTTATTTTGTTGTTTTTAAACCTACGGTAAAACATGCATAACACAAAATGCACTACGTGAATCGTTTTAAAGCAGACCATTTAGTGGTTGTTAATTACATCCTCACTGCTGTAGAACCAGTATCACTACCCATCTCCACGTGCTGATTTTCCAAAGGATAATGTTAAGAATACAGTAAAGTAAAAATAACAACAGATACTTTTCAAGCACGTTTAAGAGTATGAGCCAGCCGGGCGGTGGTGGCGCACGCCTTTAATCCCAGCACTTGGGAGGCAGAGGCAGGCGGATTTCTGAGTTCGAGGCCAGCCTGGTCTACAGAGTGAGTTCCAGGACAGCCAGGACTACACAGAGAAACCCTGCCTCGAAAAAACAAAAAAACAACAAAACAAAAAACAAAAAAAAAAAAAAGAGTATGAGCCAAAGCAAATTCAAGTTCTCCATAAAAAGAGAATCAAAAATGCTAATTCCAGAGTATCATTTTAGCCTGATTTGGAAAAGCAGACCCTTTAGCAGCAGTGAGAAATCCTGCAGAGTGTTGGCTCAAAAACCACAACATGCTACGGGGGAAGGGGCTTCCACGGAATACATCCTCTATAAACAGGTGTTGACAGTGGCCCACTGCACATGGCTTCTGCTGTGCTACATTCTCTGACAAGCCATTGCTTGTTTTGCTCCACTTAATTCCAACCCACCACAAAGTAGGTATTATTACTGTTTCCACATGATATGTAGAGAAACTCAGGTTTGGAGGAAGGGATTTCCTTGCTTATGCTCACTGTTACTGCAACTGAAATGAAAGCATCCTGCCCCTTGAGCCTATTTCCACAGTAGGGTCATTCTGAATACAAGCCTGCTGATTGGTATAGGGCCAGTTTGAATGTCAAAATGTGGAATGTTCATGCAAAGAGTCATACCAACAGCCAGTGTCCAGTTATGAGCAGGGAGTTAAGGAGTTGTGGACAGAGCAAACCTCAAAGCATTTCCCCCACCGGGACCCATGGAGACAAAAGCACACTTCCAAGGACAAAATTAGACATCGCTATTGCCTGTCCACTCCACTGAAGCCTTTGTTTTCAGAAGCACAGGCTGGCCATCTAAAAATGCATACCTAGTACTGGTTCACAGGAATTCACTGACTTCCGTGGCAAGAAAATGCCTTAGGATATCTGTAGAAGATAGATTCTCAAGCCTTCATTCTGAACATTCACACTTAGTGTAAACAGGATGTCTGGAGGGTCCTGGGCTAGTGGTCTGCCTCCTACACTGACAAGCCTGTGTCTAAGAAGGGTGTAGTCCTTTCCGTTGAGATGCGGGTCACTCTGCTGAGTCAGCAGATGTCTATAGCATCAGCACTCAGGTCGGGCACTGGACTGGCTGTGAGCTGACACTTGCGCTGTGATTATCTCCTCCCCTTCAGCATAAATGCCTATACTTTCCCAATGGTGCTCACTGCTGCATCTCCAGACCCTCAGAGTAAATGTTCAATGGCTACCTATTAGATGAATGAATACATAAAATGTATGTAAAGACAAGCGAACCCCAGTCCCTGTCCTCCGTATCTTTAAAACTGAACGTCCAAGTAAGTGCGTGAGCACAATAAAGTACTCTCCCTGTGGAATGCCAGATGTGCCCCAGGCACGAGGCCACCACCTCATCAGCAAAACTGAACCCAAACCGTGGTCAGCAGAAATAAGGCAAGGCTAGGTCATCTTCACAAAACAAAGAATCTGTGTACAAACAGTTGGCTGAGGGCTGTCTTTATAAGATCTTCTGAGACAGGAATACAATCCTCTCTGCATATCTGTGAATTCTGCACTCATGGAGAATCGCAGAGCAAATAAATGCAAATGAAAGAGCAAATACATTTTCTAAAATCTGTTTGTGTGAAACCTGTACCATTTCTTCTTGCCATTGTTCCTAAAACAATAAATATAGCATGACAACTATTTGCATAGGCCTTATATTATATTGGGTTTTATTGGAAATCTAGAGATGGTTGGGAATTTTATGGGAAAATATATGGGAATTTTATCTCAGAACCTCAAATAGGGTATATGCAAATGGTATCCTTTGGGTACCATAAAAGACTTGACTAGCCACAGATTTTGATATTCAAGGTGGCTGACCTGCAATCAATCCCCATAGACTCTGGAGGCCAACTGTGCTTTCTACCAATAAACTTCTTCACATAGTTTAGTAGTCTGTGATGAATCATACACACAGTAAAAAATGGTCCTGCTTTTGTTTCTTATTTTAGATTTTATAATACGTTGTCTCATACACCATATTCATTCAGCTGAGGTTTGAACCATTTCAGAGATGTCTTCTGAGAGTAGACTCGAAAGGAACAATGTCTAATAGACTCTCTATAGTGGTGGACATCTGTCTGTACTGTGCAACATTTCATTCCCAATATTTGATAGAAATCTTACTGAAATCAGTAGCTTCAACAAGTGGTCAGCTTTTTGTTGTAAAACTATCTTTGTGCAAAATAAATCAGCAATACTATCACATCCACTTCAAGGGCAATAGCTGCTCTTGAGATACTTTTATTTAATGAATGTCAAAGACCTGGCTCCCTTTTACCAAACAACATAACGAAACAGAAGCCCAGGAGACTTGCAGACCACTGTGCATGAAGGAGCCAGCCCTGACCACAGCAAACACTGAGGACACAGAGCTTAAGTGTGTCTCCTCAGTGTCCCTTCTCCCCAGTGAGGCAATACTGGACATGCAAAAGGTCACTCGAGAAGGCGAACACTTGCTTCTGGAGCTGGTAAACAAATAGCAAAACCAAGATGTCATGAGGTTCCAAGTGCGAGTGAAGTCTTGCCAGAGAGCCAATGCCACTAAACACTAAGAGGCAAGAGACCACCATCACTGAGCCGGCGCCAGCCAGTTTCTGTCCTGACAAAGTGGCCGCTGTCCACAACACAAATGGGATGAATTTGTGTGACAAACAGATGCCAATGGAACACCCACGCTTTTTCTACACAGCAAGTGATGTGGGTGGGTGGGAGCAGTTTCGGAAACAGGGCATGCATCTGATTTTCCAGGCTCATAGGGCATCATCTTCTCAACAAGCAGAACATACTTCAAAATGTGTGTTCCAGGCCCTCCCCAGCCATGTTACTTTCTGCATATGTCACTGCCCACATGACATATGTACCAACATGCTCAATGACCTACTCATGTGAGGTAGGCCCTGTATAGATATATTTATTGTCTTTTCAGTTTAAATGTAAAATATACCATTTTAATTTATTTATATTATTTATATTTATTTAATTTTTATATATTTACATATAAATTTATTTATTACATTTTTTAAATTAAAAGATAAAACAAAATTATAACTGTATTGCAAATATTTGTGATTTTACTTGCCTTAACATTTTCTGGCAATGGTTTGTTCTGGGTCAGGCCCACAGCAATCAAAGCTATCACAGCCAAGACAGAGGAGAAACCAAGGATGATCAGAATGTTTTTGGAGCAAAATCTCTTCACCTTAGAATCTAAAGCCAAAGACAAAACATAAGAAATCAGCAAACAATGATTTTTCTTGCCTTTTTGTCTGGTTTTACGATGGTTCTCCAGAAACACCAGAGATGTTAATAAGGAGCCTATCTGTAAGCACAAAATACTTGTAAATTATTGGAAATAATTTAAGAATAAAAAGGTTTGTCTGTATCATGAAGACCAAGGTCAAGTTGGCGGTTTGCAAAGAAAAACAGGCAAAACCAGGCCACTTACATAAATGGAATGAGAAGGAGAATCACGTGGGTGTCTTATCTAACAGGTCAGACGAGTCAATCAAAAGACAAGAAACAACTAACAAAAGACACAGACCTTTGTGTTTTTAAAATATACACAAAGCATTTAATTTGCTAAAAACATCAAACATTAAATCCCACCACTGCATAACACTTTCTGGCTTGATATACCTTTTGGGTCCTGACGCCTTTAAATGGAAAACTGACAATCACCTTAACTGACAGTCACCTTAATCCTGAGGAGTTCTGAACACTTTTGGCTGTCAGTCTATTAGCTAATCTATTCTGGTTTTAGTCTTACTTGACAAAGAACATTTTAAAAGCTCCACTAGAAGAATTGCATAAAGCAATTAAATAAAGAAATTAAATAAAGCAATTAATAAAGAAATGCATAAAACTTCAACTGGACTTAAATAGATCATCAAGAGACTGGGAATAGAACATGGAAGGTTACATCAGTCCATCCATCTTGATGACACAGTCTGTTCTGTTCTTCAGTCAACTTCCCAAACCATCTTCAGACTCTTTCTTATTATTCCAGGCACATAATACAGAATCATCTGAAAATGAGATGGTTTCTCTCTCTCTCTCTCTCTCTCTCTCTCTCTCTCTCTCTCTCTCTCTCTCTCTCTCTCTCTCTC